GAAGTGTATATCCAAGCTGAGGTGTCTGCCGGGGGAGAATCAGGCGCTACTCGCGGGGCGCCGTCACGTGATCCGGGGATGAGGTGGAGTTCGGCTTTAAGGGGGCGTCTCTTCCTATCTTCATCAATCTTTAGGATTTGAGCAGGAGAGATACCAACGGATCTTTCTTCCCCTCCGCTCCCTTCCATTACCATTCTTCCCGCTTTAATAAACGGGCGAAAAAGACGAATCCAACAGAGGGGTAAGTTTCAAGTTTACACCTTTTAAGGGACTTCTTCAGAAATCTCTCATTGATGGCGTGAAGGATGAGAGAGGAAGAAAAAACGTGCGAGTGCCCGAAATTGACTCTGGGAAACAGGTGGGGCACAATCAGCCTCTCAGTTGGGCTCCCGGTGCAGGCAGGTCGCAAGGTGCAGCAGATGATCGGACGACTCCGGGACTCCTGCCTATGGGTGTGGGCCGACGTCAGTAACCGGGAGTTGGCGGCATCAGCACACCCTGCTCCCCCCGGGTTTCTGCACCGGGATATGAGTTCTCTCTCCCCTTTCGGGTTCTCCTAAGGCCGTCTTCCCCCTGACCTCGCTTATCTTTTGCGTTTTTCTGGAGCTGGCTGCCCGGGCGGCCGCACTGCAGTTTGCGCAGAGGAACCGATCTCTGGGATGGTCTGGGGAATGGTGGTTTGGCGGGTGGTCCACCTTGGTCCCCCTCGCGCCGCACGTGTCCCGCGGGGAGCCGGCGGAGGCGCGAGCTTGCCCGGGGGGCCGCGGACCCGAGTGCAGGCACGGTCCCCCGGACACTTGTGGGTTCCCCGCGTCTGGGCTGGAATGGAGCCCCTCTCCCTCGGTGCTGACACTTCCAGTCTGTCACTGGGCGCTGGTAGACACCCTAAGCCCTATCCTTTTATTTCCGAGTTTCAATCATCGAAATCTTTAGCTCCTTTTAGAACAGCGATGATGGAACCTGGCAGGTTTAGGAGATTGGGCATGGACTGGAGGTACAGGTGGCTTAAGAGTGTTCCGTTGGTCTCCAGGTAGACTGGAGAGAGGCGAATGTTTTAAGAACTGATGTTAGTCCACAGAGAACTGAGTTTGGGTACTGCTTCTTTTTTATTTTGGGTTGGTTTGGGTTTGGATGTTTTGTTTGCCAGTCTCATCGTCACGGGTAGAGATGTTCCTTGATAGATGGGTGGCAAACGGGTGTGTGTGTGGGGGGGGCGGGGGGGTGGGAAGGTTAGGGATGAGGAAAATTGGGGGCAATTCACCCAGTTACACAATATGAAAAAGGTGGGCACGTAAGCGAGCCAATAGGAATTTTGGTTTAACCATGCCATTTCATTCTTTGGTAACTGCGGGAGCACAGAAAAGCCTAGGGGAAGGCAAAGAGGGAGTGTGTTTTGACATTTCTTTTTACTTTTTCTTTCTTGTATTTTCAGATAGTAACACCACTAAGAACGGCAAGCAGTGGAAGGCCATTGGAAAGGTCATTGGAAAGGAGAAGGAAATTTCCCTTTGGAAGGGGGCCAAGTTTCCAACTGGTGATGTATGTAGTATCTCTATTTTGTCTCTTAATTGCTCATGACAGCTATACTGAGATTTAACAACCTTTAATTTTTGCAATGTCTGTTGTTGCATATCTTATTTTAACTAGTGGGATAGTAAATATCAAATTATTTTCTTTTGCAAAGATAATGTATGTAAATTCTTTCTCAGTATTATTTTCTGACAACTATTCTTTCTTGAAGTTATACTAAGGTAGGCTGAAAATACACATTTTATCCAATGCAGAACTGTTTTACCAAACTGGAATGACTACCGAACATACACTTAGAAAAGGAGGCTTTGCAAACACTTAAAAAAATAGTTTACATTTTCTGTATAGCTAAGTTAATACCTACTTAGTGGAAAGACCACTATTCCTTACCAGAACATATCCATCAAATATAATTTCAAAGGTATCAGAGTTGAATTTCAGTATTCACCTAAAACCCTCTGCAAGGAACTGCCTTTGTAGTCCACACACTGTATCGTGGATTGAATTTTGTCAAAATAAGTCAATGGATTTAAAATTTCTATTTTTCTTCCTTTCCACTGTAGACACCTTAGTCTATGCCTCTGTTATCTCTAATCTGGATTATTGTATTAGCCTCTTAATGAATCTCCCTACTTCTTCTCTTTCCTATCTTAAGACGGTTGAAAACAGCTACTCAAGTAATAATTTAAAACAAGCCATCTAACTTCATGTCTTTACCAAAGACTCTCCAGTGATTCCTCATCTTCCTCAGAGAAAAAGTCAAACTGTCCCATGGAATAAGGTCTTACATAATCTATTCCTCTTCTGCTTACCCTTTCTAAGTAAATTTCTACCAGTCTGTCTCTTATTTATTGCACTTCTCATTGCTGTTTGGTACAACAGGTACACTCCAGCCTGAAGCATTTTACGTTCATTCTTTCCACATGGGATGCAGTCCCTGACATATCTACATGGCTTTCTCACTCACCACTTTCCGGTCTTAGATCATATGCCATATTTTCAGGCAAGGAGAGGCCTTCCTCACCACCCAGTAATAAAGTGCAACTCCCAACCACCCGAGCTCCCCTTCTTTGCTTTATTTTTCTGTATAATACCTATCATCTGGCATACTATCGTTTTTACCAATTTATTTTTTCTTGGTTTTCTTTGTTCACAAGACTGGAAACTCAAAGAGAAGGTCACCATTGTCTCCCCTAAAACCATGCCTGACACAAACTGAGTGTTCAATAAATATTTATTGGATGAATGAATTTTCTTTCAGAAACAATTAGTTTTTTAAACACAAAAATGGAACATTTCCCCCTAATGTTCCTGACCTAATAAAGTGAGTTTTGTAATTGGCATCCATCTTGCATGTAAAAGGACTAGAGAAAAGAAGTCCTTTTGTAAAAGTCCTTATGTAAAAGGACTATGACAGAATTCAGTTATTGGCGTTAGAACCTACTATTCCAACCGTGCGCCTACTATGTCAGTCAACACATTTTTGTTCTAAATTTAGTATTTGCAAGGTGCTATGAGGTATATACACTACCTACCTTAAAAAGATTATATCATAATTGGAAGGAGCCAGTTAAGGATTCAAGTGCACTGAATGGTGTTTTGAAAGATGGGTAGCGTTTGAATTGGTGATGTGACAGAACATCCAACAAGAGCAATGGCAGAGACAGATGAATGCAGAAACTAAAACAGGCTGGGGGGCACTTGGTGGGCTGGGGAGAGACTGGCCCACCTGGAACAGAGCATTCACAATGAGGCTATTGGAGCAAAGAGTGAAAGGCAAAGGGAAGCAAAATGTAGAGGTATTCAAGTGTCAGGCTGAAGCATGTACTCATAGTGTCTTATCCCAGGATACTTGCTCGTCTGGTGGTGCCTAGTGAGAAGTCATAGGGTAAAGAGGATGCACTTTCTTACCAAGATAGTTTGACTTTACATAGTGAAGAGATGGGCCCTCGGTGGCTCAGTTGGTTGAGCGACTGCCTTCGGCTCAGGTCATGATCCTGGAGTCCCGGGATCGAGTCCTGCATCAGGCTCCCTGCTCGGCGGGGAGTCTGCTTCTCCCTCTGACCCTCCCCTCTCTCATGTGCTGTCTCTCTCATTCTCTCTCTCTCAAATAAATAAATAAAATCTTTAAAAAAAAGAAATAGTGAAGAGAAACTCACAATTAACTGGTAAGTCATGTTCAACGCTTTGACAGCCACGTGCATATGAAGTATGATGCACACATTTTCTTGAATTCTTTAGTGAGGAATTTGCAAAGAAATATTAGATTATTACTTCTTCAAGGTTTGTTCTCAGACACTAAGAGACAGAGATTATTCTCTCTGCCTTTGGCATTCTTTTTTTTTTTTTAAGATTTTATTTATTTATTTGTCAGAGAGAGAGAGAGAGCACAAGCGGCGGCGGGGGAGGGGGGGACGGGGAGGGCGTCACAGGCAGAGGGAGAAGCAGGCTGCCCGCTGAGCAAGGAGCCCGATGAGGGACTCAATCCCAGGACCCTGGGATCATGACCTGAGCTGAAGGCAGATGCTTAACCGACTGAGCCACCTAGGCGCCCCCTGCCATTGGCATTCTTGAGAGATAAAGGGTGATGGCTGCATGAGTCCACAAGCCATTGTGTATTGATTGTTGCACAGAGGAAAGGAGAGCCATACTTCTAAAAACGTTCACACTTGAAATCATTCCTAGTCTTAATTCTTCCATTCTCACTGAATGTTAGAAACCTTTATTTTTATTCTTCAGTTTTATCAAGCCAAGGTGTGGTTTTTTAATAAAAAAAAAAAACCCTCATATTCTAGAAAGCAAAAACACTCAAGGAAAGGTTCATTAGAGGTGCCACTCAAAAGGCAAATGTTCATTAAATTTCTTATCTCCTTTGAAATGGAAGTCAGTCTGCATGATTTTCTTTATTCTCCCATAAAAAAGAAATAAATGCAATTCCCTTCCTTAACACAGGTACAATGGCCTGTTAATTAACATAAGAAACCCTGAATCTCATATATTTATTTAGCAATCTAGAGGAAATCAGATTTTTTTCAAAGGAGCTTTTAATCTCTAAAAATACCACTGTCTAATTTCTCTTTTTGGTAAGAAAAGAGTCTTTGTATCACAAAATGCTGTGAAAGATCAAAATTACCTCAAAAATGTAGGTCCCTGCATTATATCAGTATACAGTCTAGTGGGGAGGAAGGATATTTACATGTATAAAAACCTTAGAAATCCTTTGAAAGCTTGTGACATATTAATAAAATACTTAAAGTTAGAAGGAACTTCAGTTATAGCCACTTAAGTCTCCTACACAATGCAAGAGCTCCCCAAAACGCTTTCATGTAATAGCTGCAAACTCTTGTGTATGGAGCACTCCATAGTTTTGCAGGCAGTTGATTTCATTTGATTAAACTTTTGTTCCTCATAACGATGTGAAATTTGTTTTGTTTTGTTTGTAATATACACTGTACTATACTTCCCTTGGTCCTATTTCTAACTTGTATAGTTAGATATAATATTCTAAGCCCGGTTCCCTATGGCACATGCTACCCAATCAAATATGAGAAGACATCTATACCATTCCTAGCCTTTTCTGGATTAAACGTCTTCTGTGCCTTCCACCGTCCTTCATATGACAAAGGTTTTTGATGTTTCACTGTATTGATCATCCCCTTTTGAATATCCTTGTGCTAAATAATGTCTGCCTTAAAGAGTAGGTCAGTATATGGTGGAACTATTAGTACCACTTAATAAATTAGTTCATTTCCTTGGAGGAAGAATTAGGGAAATTCTTGTTGTTTTTCTTTGTTTCATATCTTATGTGTTAATCTGTGCATTAAATTTTTTGTTACACATTCATATTTTTACAGTGTTTAGGAATCTGTTGACAGTGGTTTATATAAGACATATATAAGACTTTGGGCATGAGATTTAGGCACACCTTACTAATTTATGGACAAAATTGCAAGTCCAGTTAAAAATATTAGAAGAGTTTTTTTTTTTTTCAAAATGTTTGCACTGGTTCTGCTACTTTAAAAAGATGTTTATACAGATTACATTTTGTTTATTTCAAGGTCTTCACTTAAAACAGTACTATGAGTCAGAATTCATTTTGACTGCCCTCAATAAAATTAGTAATGCCATTGGTCATTTTCTCTTTACAGATTGTTCAGTTCAAGAGAATGAAGAATTCAGAGTAATTTTGATAAATGGATTGCAATATGGAGAATTAAGAATAAGCTGAACATTTGATCTGCTTTGAAGAAACATATTTTCCATTTGTCTAGAGTAATCTATAATCACCAAACCAATCAAAATGAATTCAACATTATTTTCCCAGGTTGAAAACCATTCAATCTTCTGTAATTTTTCAGAGAATTCCCAGTTTTTGGCTTTTGAAAGCGATGATTGTCATCTGCCCTTGGCCATGATATTTACATTAGCTCTTGCTTATGGAGCTGTAATAATTCTCGGGGTCTCTGGAAACCTGGCCTTGATTATAATCATCTTGAAACAAAAGGAGATGAGAAATGTTACCAATATCCTGATTGTGAACCTTTCCTTCTCAGACTTGCTTGTTGCCATCATGTGTCTCCCCTTCACATTTGTCTACACATTAATGGACCACTGGGTTTTTGGCGAGGCGATGTGCAAACTGAATCCTTTTGTGCAATGCGTTTCAATCACCGTGTCCATTTTCTCTCTGGTTCTCATTGCTGTGGAGCGCCATCAGCTGATAATCAACCCACGAGGGTGGCGACCAAGTAACAGACACGCTTACATAGGTATTGCGGTCATCTGGGTCCTTGCTGTGTTTTCTTCTCTACCTTTCCTCATCTATCAAGTATTGACCGATGAGCCGTTCCAGAATGTAACACTTGACGCGTTCAAGGACAAATACGTGTGCTTTGATAAATTTCCATCGGACTCCCACAGGCTGTCTTATACAACTCTCCTCTTGATGCTGCAGTATTTTGGCCCACTCTGTTTTATATTTATTTGCTACTTCAAGGTAAGAAAACGTTTCCCCCTACCATTTCCATTTTAACCTTCTTTCCACAGTTTCCACATTAAATTAGTGGTTCTAGTTGAACTTTTTTTTTCTCTCTCTCTCTGTAGATATACATACGCTTAAAAAGGAGAAACAACATGATGGACAAGATGAGAGACAATAAGTACAGGTCCAGTGAAACCAAAAGAATCAACATCATGCTTTTGTCCATTGTGGTGGCGTTTGCGGTCTGCTGGCTGCCCCTTACCATCTTTAACACTGTGTTTGATTGGAATCATCAGATCATTGCAACGTGTAACCATAATCTATTATTCCTGCTGTGCCACCTTACAGCAATGATATCCACTTGTGTCAACCCCATATTTTACGGATTTCTGAACAAAAATTTCCAGAGAGACTTGCAGTTCTTCTTTAGCTTTTGTGATTTCCGGTCTCGGGATGATGACTATGAGACAATAGCCATGTCCACCATGCACACGGATGTTTCCAAGACGTCTTTGAAACAAGCAAGCCCAGTCGCATTTAAGAAAATCAACAATGATGATAATGAAAAAATCTGAAACTCTGGTAGCATATGGTCCCAGATGATATCTGTCTAAAAACAAGCACAACCGGCAACATCGTTTTGTTACCTGTTCCCCCAAGGGAATGAGGTTGTACTCATTTAAGAAAGACCAAGATTTGCTTGTCTTGCTTTTTACTGCTTTTATTGTAGCTGTCTAATTACACTGGGACAAAATGTATGGGCTTTGGAATCTTCCGGGCAATAGTTTTGACCAGATATCCTTGAAGTGCTTTTTGTAAACTTCTGCATATAATATGAAGACTTTTATATTCAATTTGTTGGAATTAAGTTTCTTTAGAGTATTACTACTGACTGACTTTAGAAGCACTACATCTGAAACTCATTAGGTCAGGCGTCCTGGGTTGATTAGATGGTCATTATGTTGGACAATCCTGATGTAATGATAGACATATTTTACTCTGTTACAGAGGGGACAGCATGCAAAAGCAGCATTCAAGATGTGGAGCTAAGCCTATGTCTTGCAGACCTACAGTCTGAAGTCACTGAGGAGTGGTTTGCATTTTTCTTTTAAGATTTAAGACAGGATTTAATTTGCTCCTGATTATCACTTGAGATGAAAATGCATAAAACATATTTCTCAGCTGTGAATATCATGAGGAATTGGGCCACCCACAAGAATTAAGTGGGAAAGCAGTTCTCTAACTTCAAAACTATTTTGGTACCTGACAACAAAGGATTTCAGAGCAATTAATTTAACAAGCAAATCAGTATTGCAGCAAATAGTTGAATTATATTCATCTGAACTGTTGGTCCAGCGGTTTTCCATTCTTCACAGACTGTTCAGTGTTTGTCAAGCTTTCTAGCATAAATCTATATGTGACTCAAAAGGCATTTCCAGCTTATAATATATAAAAACACAAAGTATATTTTCCATACATCAGTGCCTACATAGTAACTCATTTTTAACTTTTTCAATGTCCATTCTTCAAAGAAGGACACCAAAGTATACTGTTAAAAGAATGTTCACCCTGGCTAGCAGGGCTAAATACCTGAAAACTGAGAACAATTCATATAGCCCATATTAACTTGTATCAACTGTGTGCCTTGTGGAGTCTTATAATGTACTTTATAGAGTACTAAGTGGTTGTGTCATGTTAATATACTTAATTTTATGTATTCTCTAATTGTGATTGAGCCTCAGAATCATTTGGAGCAAAGATATTTTAAAGAACAAGATATAACTTTGGTGTATTATGAAAGTATTAAATGTGTTTGATTTTAGAAGGACAGACATTTTCTTTATTAAAATTGGTTTTGCTTTTTCTGAGTAGTCTCTTTTATGTCTCTCTTCAGTTTGTTTCTTTTTTCTTTTGACTCATGGTTTCCCTCCCACAACATCCTATTTCTGCTTATTAATGGAACATTTTCGACCCTGTGGTCTTCCTCCTCTGCTTCTTGAAGCTTCTAGGAGGCAGGGGCTATTTTATACAACTTTGTCCCCAGTGCATTTACCACAGTGCCAGGTACTTAAAAGTTTTTCAAAAAATATTTCTTAAACAAACAAATGAATAAATAATAACTAAATTTCCTCCCTTCTCATTTATGATCATAAAGACTTTGCATCTTGAAACTTTTTGGGGACTCCTCCTCCTAAGTTCATATTTACCAAGATGTTTGTTCTTTTTGTTATCTTATTTTCCCTTCTAAACTAAGCAAAGATGACATTTTCGATTTTAGAAACTTGCACGTTTAGTCCTGTAATTCAAACAAATATCAAACTTTTCACATGGTGAAGGTTCATATGAATTCAAATTCTACCTAATAATGACTTTCCGTTAACTGAACAAAGAAAATAATTCTAAAACCAACTTTTAACGTACATTGGAAAATATCATCATCTTTCCTTACCCAAACCTGGAATTTTAATTTTAATTTAATACTGTTAAAAGAATGTTCACCCTGGCTAGCAGGGCTAAATACCTGAAAACTGAGAACAATTCATATAGCCCATATGCTTTTCTGCTTCGGGGGACTAATGGGAAATTTTGTCTTTCTCCACTTAGGTGCTATGGAAACAAATTGCTACTTGAGAACAGCCTTAATACATAGGTGCTTCTTTGTCAGCACATTTGTTGAGATGGCCATGTCTAAGATTCTCACTCAGCTGTGAGGCCGCTGATTCCTTATCTTTACATAAATAATGAACTGAATATAAAATTCTTTTTTATCCATAGACGTTGATGAACTAATAGTAAAGCCTAGGGTCAACACCAGATCCAGAGTGATTCAAGAAGAAATAAATGTGCACACTAAATACCAACTATGGAACCACTGGGTTTTCTTAAACCGAAGAACAAAAATCAATCGTTTTAGTACAAGAGCATCATGACGATGTAGTTTCTATAAATTTAGAGTAAAATGAAAATAGCTAGAAGTTTTAAACACTCAGCATATGCCAAGTACTATGTCAAATATTTAAGTACCTGTGAGGGTGCATGACTAAGAGGACCACTTCACGTAAGAGGAAACCAAAGTTCAAGTTATAAAATTTGAGCCCCACACTGAGTAACAAGTGGAGCAAGAATCAAGCCAAGGTCTGTCCATTGCTACTAAACTAACAGTGAGCTGACCCTAATGATAGGCTTTTAGAAATACTTGGTTTTTCTCTCTTTCCAAGTTAAATTATTAGGGCATGGTATTACCATTCACCTTCTTTCTGATTTTGGCTGTAGTAAGAAATGAAGAAAAGTCGAGGGAAAATGGCCATTAGGATTATATGTATCTCTAATTCCCTTCCGAATTAGAGAATTCTGCTTGAAAATGTAATCTGATTATAGGTATTAGTGTTATTTCTTTACTGTTAGCTGGATATTCCCACCCCTTTCCTATTCCACAAAATGTTGCCTTTTCCAGAATGTCATAAAGAAGCATACCTTGTTTTATTGCACTTTATTGTGCTTCGCAGACATGGTGTATTTTTACAAATCAAAGTTTTGTGGCAACCTGGTGTTGAGCAAGTCTGTTGATGCCATTTTTCCAACAGCATTTGCTTACTTCATGTCTCTGTGTTGCATTTTGGTAATTCTCACAATATTTCAAATATCTGTGCAGTGCTCGAACTTCTTCCAGGGAAGCCTGCTGTATTAATGCTCATATGGATTCACTGGCTATGCACAAAATATCCCCCAGAGACAAAGTCACTGATCTATAGACCTGTATTGATGTCAGGTTTTGCATTTATGTCTTATACTCCTAAAGGAGATAGAAGAGAAAGATTTGTTGATTAAATTGCCTCGTGGGAATGTTGCATTAAAATATGTGTCTGACTAAATGTCTGTTACCAGATGCTTTTATTTCTACATTAACTCATGATATTACAAATGAGTAAACTGATGCCCATAGGAATTGAAACCCAAATTTATTTGATTGCAAAATCCATGGATTGTTCTTTTATACCTCTATACCAGCAAGCATTGGAATGAAATCATAAAGTTTAATTATTTTGTTTATTTTTCATGCAATCCATATTACTCGTTGAAAAGTGAGGAAAAGTAATCAAGCAAAATATTGTGATTTTCCCAAATGGCCAAAAAAAAAAAGTGTGACTTGTTTTTCTTTCTTTTTTTTTTAATTAAGTTGTGCTAGTAGTTTTGGCCTCTACTTTTTAATTTTCTTTTTTATCTTGAGCTTTAGTATTTTATAGCTTTTAAAATTTAGTGAAATGAGTAAGCACCCATATCAAGCATTTTCCCTCATTCCATTAGTTTTGTTTTATTGCTTATTTCCTTTTGATACACTACTGTTCATGCATTCCTTCTAGGTAATCTTAATAGACTTAAATGCAATGCTTGTAATGACCTCCCTGGGCCTCAGCTCTCTTATTTGCAACATGAGGAAATTAGACTAAATATCTGTATCTTATATAGATATATCTACTATATATAAATCTATATTTAGACTAAATAATTTCTATCTTATATCTAAGATAGACATAAGCTCCAAAATTATGTGATTCCATTTAAGTAAATCTAAGAATAAGTTAATAGAAAGGAGATACCTGGTTAGGGACTGTTTGCAGGTAAAATGTTCTACCTGTAACAGATCTTCTCAGAGGAGGTATCTTGAAAAATCAGGAGAGACATGGTATAGCAAAGTAAGAGAGAAGCCTGTGTCATACATAAGGACAGACTGGGGAAAGATGCAGATGCTAAAATGCATGACCGAAGGGAAACAAGTTGGGCTGGAACAGAAGACTGAGGAAGACTGGGAAAGTCAGGGGTATGGAGGAGCCAACAAAGGGAATGTACCTGAGTTTCCAAATGGACAATATTTTTAAAGGTCATATAAAAGACATTTTGAAACTGGGAACATAATAAGATATTTAAAAATATATTTGGGTATGAATGAAGTTGGGGAGAGGAAAGCAAATTGCCCCCCAACTAACAGACTGCATCCAAAGTGGAATTCAGGTGTAACACGGCCTATACTGAGCATAAGATCACAGAGGCCAGAAGATTGTGCTGAGGTTCGAGGAAATAGTGAAAATCAGTAGTTAGTAAGTATTAAAAGGAAGACAGTGATCTGTCTTTCCAATAAAAGGTTTGAAATTGGAAAACATTCAATTAAAAGTACTAATACAAAATGACAAACAACAATAACAAAAAGCAATAAAACAACCTCATTCTGAATGAAGGAAAGGGCCCATGGGGGAAGAAATCCTTTGTCATCAATGACTAGCAGTACGAATTATTTCAGAGAGGCTGTTAGTTACCAAGTGAGCACTTAGAACCCCACAACAAGCCGTAAGTTATATAGTGCTCTTATTTTAGATAAGCAAGCTGCAGCTCACAAAGACTACATAGCATCCCCCAAAATCACAGTTAGTCATTTGCAAAAGCTGAATTTAATCCCACATCTGGGTGACTCCAAAATATGTCTGCTTAAACACTTAATACTTCCCACTAGCAGGCAAATGGAAGTTTTAAAGATTGTATACATGGCTTTCAGCTTGAGCACATCCATACAACTAGACTTTTTTTTTAAGGACATATTATTTTTCTATTTAAGTACTTTTTTTTTTTACTTTTGAGAGAGAGAGAGAGAGCGAGAGCAAGAGTGAGAGCAGATGGAGGAGCAGAGGGAGAGGGACAAGCAGACTCCACGCTAAGTGCGGAGCCCAACCCAGGGCTCGATCCCACGACCCTGAGATCATGACTGGAACTGAAACCAAGAATCAGACACTTAACCATCTGAGCCCCCCAGGCACCCCATAAGTACTTTCTTAAGAGAAAGATTGTACCTGAATATAAATAAATAATGTATTAAAAATATAAAAATCACAGCTTGAATGAAATTATAATTTATAATTAAATAGTA